CTTTTATCCAAAGGTACAAGAACATTATTAAAAACTTAATCATATTTGAGGACTCATATGCACATCATTTATAACGTACATTAAATGCAGTGGATGCAGTAAACAACTTGAATCATGCACTATATAACACTATGTAACACTATCAACACATTGTAGCACTATGTAGCACTGTGTAACAATATGTAACAATGTGTAATACTATGTAACACTGTGTAGTCTTCTGATAGCACATACCCCAGGATCCATTGTGAATTCAGTTCGAATTATATTCAAAATCATAATTTTAACAAGAATTAGCCAGCAAAACAAGCATGCTTGGTCGAATCGAAGCATGGATTCCCATGGAACAAAAGTCAAAACTCAAAATATGCGGGGGGGGGGACCTGCATCACACATAGATCAGGGGGACCATAGCCGTTTCCCCGCCCGTGTTTTACAGCGCCATGATTAGTTCAGTTAAACATTTGCATGAGAGAGCATTTGCAGAGTTGCAACTCTGATCAACTCTCATGCTCGTTTCAGTCGTTTGACCCGCGGGTTTGAGAAACAACGTCACATCCACTGAGTTGGAAAACGTACTACCTCTACTATCTCTACTACCGGGTCTACTTGAACTCCCTCCACTACCTGAACTACCAGGACTACCTGGACTACCAGGACTACCTGAACTACCAGGACTACCTGGACTACCAGGACTACCTCTACTACCTGGACTACTAGGACTACCAGGACTACCTCTACTACCAGGACTACTAGGACTACCTGGACTACCAGAACTACCAGGACTACCTCTACTACCAGGACTACCTCTACTACCAGGACTACCTCTACTACCAGGACTACCTCTACTACCAGGACTACCTCTACTACCAGGACTACCCGGACTACCAGAACTACCAGGACTACCTCTACTACCTGGACTACATCTACTACCTGGACTACTAGGACTACCTGGATTACCAGAACTACCAGGACTACCTCTACTACCTGGACTACTAGGACTACCTGGATTACCAGAACTACCAGGACTACCTCTACTACCTGGACTACCAGAACTACCAGGACTACCTCTACTACCTGGACTACCAGGACTACCTGGATTACCAGAACTACCAGGACTACCTCTACTACCTGGACTACCAGGACTACCTGGATTACCAGAACTACCAGGACTACCTCTACTACCTGGACTACTAGGACTACCTGGATTACCAGAACTACCAGGACTACCTCTACTACCTGGACTACCAGAACTACCAGGACTACCTCTACTACCTGGACTACTAGGACTACCTGGATTACCAGAACTACCAGGACTACCTCTACTACCTGGACTACCTCTACTACCTGGACTACCAGGACTACCTCTACTACCTGGACTACTAGGACTACCTCTACTACCTGGACTACCAGGACTACCTCTACTA